TTCTTGCAAACATCTCTCCTTTTTAGCAGGGGGCATAAATGTGGAAGACATACAATTTATATTTAGTAAATAAGAAAAATAAGAAATGAATGTTAACAAATGGGGGAGGGTAATTCTTTGAGGATTTAGGAAGTAACCATAAAGAGCTTCCCAGTGCTTATAACCCTTAAATAACTTTCTACCAGAAAAAAATAGTTTCTTACATTCTCTCAGACCCTAAAATTCATTTAAAATTTAATACAAATTATCATATATGTATACATATAGTAAAAATACACATGTATTTTTTGTAGATGAATATGTATTCATTGCTTCTCATGATGACCTTTTAACCTTTTAGTGTATCTTCTAATTTAGGCAAGTATGTAAATACTTTACTTTCACAACTGAGGAGATAACTGTTGAGTCAACGCCCTATTCAGGGAGCTAGACACATCTATAAAGTAATTGTCTTCTACTGATGGCATTGCTGAAAAAGCAAAGAGCTGATCATGACCATGGCAGATGTCTATATTATGGAAGAAGGGCCATTTCTTTCACCTTTATATATATTCTCTGGTCAGTGAGTAGGCTAGAGTTTATTCCTTCTACTTTAACACCAGATTGTCAATCATTAATTTATTTTCAAATTAGCCCAGATTTCCTGTTTAATATCATACTCAAGTAAGGCAAATTTCCAAGAAGACTCAAGCAAAAGACAAGGACAAAACTCAAGCAGATTTTCACTAATATAATGAACAAGCTAGATCTGTTTGATATAAACAAATATATATTCCATGTAATTGTTATTTATTATAGATATACACAGTTCTTTAAAATATATTTGTTGAGTCTTCTTGGAAATTTGCCTTATTTGAATAATTTTGGGAATAAAAACAAATAGTGTAGGGCCTCCCCGGTGGCACAGCGGATTAGGTGCAGTGCTGTGAAGCTGTCCACAGCCTCTGAAGCACGGGTTTGATTCCCTGCTGGCCAGGGAGATGCCCACATGACATGGCAGACCTCTCCTGTCTCGCCCACTGCTCCCTTCATCAGTGCTTTCGGTCTGTCTGCCTGCTCTGCTCCCCAATCTGTCTCTGGTGAATCTTCTCACCCTCCTGCACCTCTGGCCTGTACCCCAGCTATTGTATAAATAAAAAAATAAATCTGAAAAAACAACAACAAATAGTAAGGCCAGTTGCTTAGTCACTTGTACAGTTCGAGAAAAGTTAGCTGATCAAGTGTGCTAGAGTCAACACAGAATTAAAGATCTAGGTTTGAAGAGAACTGTGACTCTGCAGTTGTTATTTTACAATGAAAATAAAAGTTGTTTGTTTTTTAGTTTGTGTCAGCATGCTGGATGTGTGACATATCATGATTCTATTTGGGATCTTGCGCCATTTCACCTGACATAGTACACCTCAAGAATGAGCAGTTATGAGTGTGTACATTTTCCCCATGAGGGAAATACATGAAATGCAACCAGATTCAAATGAGCAGATTTTCAAAATATATTTGAATCTCGTCCTGGGGCTTAGATAGACCTGCCACTGGTCTATCCATTTCCTTTGGTAAGTCCTCATATATTAAGCAGTGGAAAATAAAACAACAAATGTTATTCAGTGGAAAAGATAAAAGTCCAATCTATGTAAAGTGAGACCGAAGAAATGGAAACATAGCATGTGGATTTTGCATGCTGAGCCTCATAAAATGCAAACATGAATTTCCTCTCATAGTGAGTGTGGTCCAACATTAAATGAAGCATGGGGCATGATTATGAGAGATAAGATCAGTAGTTGGAGAATATACAGCAAGCTGTTTTACCCACATTGAATATAATTTCACTCCTCTGATCTATTAGGCCCTCTTGGTGCACATCTTTGTAGATTTTTGCTAGTTTTCAGGAATGCATTAAAAAACCCTACAGGCTATAACCAAAATTACTGAATATTTTTTAATGTTTCACATGTTGACAGTCCTGATTTTCGTTATATAAGAAATAACTGTCGATAGTGCCATTTAAATCCCTACTCTTAAGACTTGTGAATGCTAATAGCTGGGCTGTCGAACTTCAGCTTTTCCTGTAATCGTTATTCCTGGTTTCCTGTGGTGGATATGTATCGAACATAAGAAATTAGTTGCAGAGAGAATTAGAGGGTGTAAGTCTGAGTCATGTAAATGCCAAAAGCTTTTTGTGACATTTTTCAGACTTTAAAAATGGAAATATGTTATTTGCACAGCAGCTCCTGATGGAATATGACATACTGCAGCGATGTGGTGAGTTTAAGATTGGGCTGCAGGCCATTAGGAACCCTCTGTGTGAGAGCCTGGGGCCTGAGCAGAGAAATGGGAGTGAGCTACTTGAAAGAAGCCTGGCATTTGCTGACGGAGCCAAAGAATCCTCGTTAGATCAAGAACTGCTAATGAGAATTAAGAACTTGCTTGAACCTGTTATCATAAGTAAGGCTTAGGAATATAATTTTCAAGCTTGATGTAACTTTTGTCTTTATTCCAGATGGTCTTACATCATTATCATTATATCAGCATGTGAAAAAAAAAATTCACAGGACTAAGTATATGCCTTAACTCTTATATTTCAATTAAGGCTGAGTCTTTTAATTCAGTAGATATAAGAAATCTTTCTTAATAGATTCTGAACCTCTGTTGGGTCCTGACAGGCACGGAAGATGGTGTAAAGTGCATGGCAGAATTTTTTCCAGAGGAAAACTGAGTACTCCTATTGGTCATGCCATCCTGTACTAACTGCTTTTGCCTCCTAGGGAGGCAGAAACTGTCTCTGGTTTTATCTCTAGTTAGCAGAGAAAATCTCAAAGGTCTATCTCCACATCAATGCAATCCATTGAACCCAGACTTTTCATAAGCATGAAGCAAAGTGTCATACTTTATTTTGGGAGGAGGGAGCAAGATAAAGTATCTCAGCACTTTTCTGCTAATTTTCATACTTTCTTGTAGGGGGTAAAGAGCTATCATGAGAAACAAGCTTGTTTAAACTTTTGTGTTATTTATTCTAGAAAATTCACTGTTCAGTTTAGAAAATTATGGAATCTGAGAAAACAGATGAATGATATTTGAAAGATTTGGAGACAGACACCCAAGAGATCTTTTGAAGAGAAAGGTGTAGTCTGGAAACAGATGATTAGTGAAAAAGAGGAAGCAAAATAGGGGCCAAGGGTCTCATCTCTTTTTCCTTTAAGAAAGACTTCTGGGAAACCTCTGTGCACCCCATCAATGTAATTCTGCTTTTCCACTTAACATTCTCAGAGATGCTTAATAAAGACATTAAACTTGTCCTGAGACAAAAACCTCAGCGCCACTTTTGCCAGTTTCATCTTGTCTGTACAGCTTATCAACAAAACATATTGGTTTTATTGCAAGTACCATTTCTTCTTGCTCTCTCCCCACTGTTTCTTTTTGTTCTGTTCTGTTATTTATCTCAACTAGATTGGACAGTTGAGATTTAACTGTTCTCTTATCCTCCTCTCTCACCCCACTTCTCCATGTTCACTGTCTACATAGATATTTTTGGTTATTTTCTTCTTCTCTATTGAGTAGAAAAATGATTACATTTACTGTACATCACAAAAACAGCTACTAAAATGTCTGATTGTAAAATGTGAATGCATTTTCATTGCTTCTTTACTAAAACTCAGGCATGTTACAGTTATGTGTATCTGATGAAAAGTAGGCCACTGTCTCCTGAGAGCCACGAAAACCTGCAATAATGACCTTTTCTTCTTCCGTTCAGCTCAGGTGCTGTCTCTATTTCTGTTGTCCATGGAAAGAATTCTACATCAACAGTGAAAGCTATTCACAGTTTAGTCTTTCCTTACCTCTTGGATTTATTCGTAATTTCCCCTGTGTTCTACCGCCCACAGGCCAACCTGGCTATTATGGATTCATGAATTGTCATTCATTTTCATAACTCCACATTTTTTTTCACATTTAGTTCCCTCTGCTTGAAATGCCTTTTTCTATCTGACAAATATTTAATCATTCTTCAAGACCGTTTCTAAATGCCATCTCAATTCTTTCCTGCCTCTCAGACTGTGTTTCCTTCATGCAGAACTTGATTCTGTGATATGTCTTTATTGTTTTCTATCTCTGGCTTGCTAGTGATCTTACAAGGCCCTTCATGACAGAGACTTTGTTTTATTCATCTTTGGCCTTCTAGTTTTTTGTACTGTATTAACAAAACAAAACATACTGTTAAAATGGAGAAAAGCATGAATTGAAGATGTAACTCCTAACACTTTACCTATTGCTTTATCTTTGCATCATTTTGGAAAAGCAGCAGAAATCTAATATGTTGACTATCCCTTACTTTGCCTGCACAGACTATGATCCAGGAAGCAGTAGATTCCTAAGATGAGTGTCTGCATTTTTCTTTGAACAGAATTTCTGCTCACTTTCAGGTTTACTCATCAATGCCATTCGAAGAAGCATTGTTCTGCTAACAATGTGCCACTTTATTGAATTCTATTAGAGAATTTCACTACAGGTTTAATTATTGTTCACCTTGGTGTCAAGATGCTTTCCCTTTATTAACTAATCATCTACTGGCCCAGCGGGGTTTCTGTAGCCTCCAGGCTTCTCAAGATATGTCAAATCAGATTATCCACCCTTATTTTACATAGATTAAAATTTAAGTTTTCTAAATTCAGTGAAGAAACAATCTCCCACTGCTTAATATATGCAAACTATACCAAAGCATGCATTTACATAACCTGAGTTGAGTTAGTCAGTTGAGATTTGCTAATTAGCTTTGGAAGAGAACATTAGCTTAACCAGAGTAGTAAATAGATAGATTTAATGAATTTTTGATTTTACCTTACAACACAAAGTATTGTACAGTTGTTAAAATAGTTTCTAAATACTAGTTGTAGAATAGAGATCACTGATCATGTTAGGGGGAAAGGATGTCCTGATCAGATTTTATATGCACTTTCATGATGTCATAGTTCAGAATTTATTTTTACTTCAGCAGTTCTCAGAAAGGAAGATTCTATGAACTGGTATGGCCTTGAAATAACAGTTATTTGTAAACTGTTTTTGTTGATTTCAAATCAATATGCTGAGAATTACTTTTATAAAGCCTAGCTTTCTAGAAAGCTTTCATGTTGAAATCTTCTGAAACTTAAAGGTGAGGAATTTTGAAATATCATGAAGTGCCACATGGCATAAAATATGTCAAAAGTATCTTTTGATTTTTAACCAGTTTGAAAACTAGAGTTCTGCCTTTTATAATCTTTCAGAATATCCTTGAGTCCCTCTCAGTTTATATTCTACGAAGCTGTCATTATGTATCCTAGATAATCAATTCCACAATCAATTTTTTTTGTTTTAGAATATAAGCTTTAAATGTATGTCTCAAAATGGTTAATAATTAGATATTTTCTGTTAAGTACATATGATTAGTAATATTTATTACATGAATTAGAAAAAAACTTAGAAGTTACATAATTTACTCACATAAATGAAATGAGTTGGTATAAATGTAAGAGTAAATATTGTGATTCTACTCCATTCCCTGATCTCATTGCAATTACCAATAATAATTTATTTTACATTAATGGATAAATGGAAAATATTTTCTTTACCACCATAGTTGTATAGTTATATCATCTTTTCTGATAGCTTCTGTACTACATTTTTACTTTTAAAAAATGTGACAGTAATTTCTAAAAAAATTTTTTATGACAATTTTATAAAGGAGATCTTACCTAATGAGAAAATATAACTAAGTTATAAATTTAATCTAATTGTATTGGGATGTTGAGCAACTTAAATTTTTCTGAAATTAACTTGGATAAGAATAAGAAATTTTAAGCCTGTCATTTCTTCTCTGTTTTGTTTCTTAGTTATCTTACAATTTGTAGTCTATAACAAAGAAGTTTTCAATTACCTTATTGAAATGTGAATTCCCTTTTAGTTTTCTCTAAGTATATATTTTTATTGCTTATTAGTATGTAAATATGATTAAAAATCTTTGAATGAAGTTCTGATTCATTTGTCTTGTACTTGTGAATCAACAAATCTTGAGTTTACTCTCAGTATCATAAAATCAATCTCACAAAAATATAATTTTATACAATGAAATAAACAGATTAAAAAATTCAAATGAAAGTTCACAGGAATATAATTATTAACTTCCTACTCCAGTGAAAATATATAATTTGCCCATCACCTTTGAAACTTTCCTTCTGCCTCTTTGCAGAAAACTTCATATTGCTTCCTACCCCAGACAAACAAAATTTTATTTCAATTGCCATGGATTATTTTTGCCTTTCTTTGAAACTTGTATAAAACTATGTGAGCTAAATTCAAAAACTTTGTTTTTAAGGAAAGAGTTTTTGAATGAGCTGAGTAAGGTCAATGAGCCATAGAATGTAGAGTAAGAGATGTTGGTATGGCCCCTTTCTTTTTTTCTTTTTTCCCTCCATAAGTAAAACCAAATATTTTTAGTTTGTTAATTTTGGAGAACTGGGCTTGATCTCAAATTATACCTAAATAGCAGCAGGATTTTCTAATCCTCAGGAAATTTGTCGTAAGTTGTTTCCTTGGTTATCTTTGAAATATTTCTAGTCTTGAAGCCCATGAAGTTATAATTGTAGTTAAGTGGACACAGTTTATGTTATAATAATATTAATTTCCATATTACATGGGAAAACTTCTCCTTGATAAAAAAAAATAATATTAGAGAAAAGTATAGTTAAATGGGTGTATCAAACTACTGATCATATAAGGTAAGTTACAGCTCAAATTCTTTGAAGAAATTAGAAGATCTTTGCTTATAAATAAAGTATCCAGCAGATCAGCTCCAGAAACACTTCAGTCTACTCATGTCAAATCTCATCTAGGTATTTAGAGAAAAATGAAAAAAAAATCTGAATTTAGGAAGCAAATGCATATCTTTGTGGTGCAAATTTTCTGCCCCCACCTTCTTTAGAACAAAAGAGTCATTCTTAGACACGCAAATGTTTCTTATCTGAAGGGAAAGTTAAGGAGAAAAGACTATTTAAAAAATGGATTACTGAAAATTCTGTGTTTTTTCAAATAAAGGCAGTCCAACTGTTCTTTAAAACTAGTATATATGACTAAACTTTTGAATAAAAACTAAGATCTTTGTTTATATGTCTATGTGTGTTTTTGTGTCTTACCCCTGTATATTATTATTTTACCTTCTTTTGGTAATGTGAGAATTAATTCACACATAATTGACTTAAAAAAGGTAACTATATAAATTCTAAGCTAAGGAATATAGTAAAAACTGACCCAGTATTCTTCTAGAAACTGTGATCTGAGGTAAACTGTCAATGAGAGCAAATTTAAAGTGCAATGGTTTAATTTGAAACATGCATTTCTTTAGAGCTATAATGTGGCAAGTAATACTTTCATTCTACTGATGTTTATTAATCAGAATTAACTATTTTATCTGAAGAGAAAAGTAACTCACTAGTGTCAAGAGACTTTTGTCACTGGTATCAAGATAGAGCAGGCAAGCCCAAGATGGAGTTGTTATAAGCCCTTGTCACTCAGAAAAGTCAGAATGAGTTTCTTGGTCCAGTGAACTTGCTTTAGTGATAAAGGTTGAAACAGATAAAATGGGAATCTCTAGCAATAATTAGTCTTTCACATGTTTTTGGTAGCTGGAAACTTTCAAGCTAGCCTAAGTTAAATTATGCGATAGTTACAGAGAAGAATCTCCACAAGAAGGGGACGTTCCCCACCTGCCTAGTGAAGGATGGAGCTGAGAGGCAAGGGGAAGCTAGAAAAGTCTTCGAAAGAACACTTAGAGGGAACACAGAAGAGAGACACAAGAGGAGACACATGGAGCAGAGAGACATAAGAAGGAGGGCGTGCTTGTTTAAGCTTGCGCTAGGACTTGGAAGACACACAGAGGAGAGACATGGAAGGAGACACATGGAGTTGAGACATGCAGAGATACTTGGGAAAGACACGGGGAGGAAGATAATGGAAACCATTACCTTGGTTTGAACTGACTCCATCTGATTCTTTGCTGTGGTTCCCCACCAGAAAGTACCTCAGTAGGCTTGTGGCCCACTCAGACATCAGCAACCCTGCTGTAAGTCAACTTTGTTCAACTAGGCATTTACCCACAAGGGGATGGGTAACTTCAGATGTTTTATGGGGAAACTATTATCCCTTCTTCTCTTTTAATGCACACTTCTTATTAAACTTCTTTCACACTTAGAGTAAACTTTGTCTCTATATGGCAGAAGAGAGAAATTCTTTAAATTGTGCAAATGTGGGTGTCCAGGTACCCCTCAGTCTGCACACAAACAGGATAAAGTAAAAAAATGATTTTTTCAGACATAATGATCATACTCACTTAATTCCAAGAATAGATTGTATTGGATATTCCACCTAAAAATGGAAATCTGTTGAATATGAGTTTTGATGGAAGTTTATTTATTTATTTTTTAAAGATTTATTTATTTATGCATCCAAGAACTGGGGTATGGGCCAGAGGTGTGGGGGTGAGAGGATTCACCAGAGACAGAGTGGGGGACAGAACAGGCAGATTGACTGAAATACACTGCTGAGGGGTGCAGTGGGCAAGACAGGAGAGGTCCTTTGCACCATGCGGGTAGCTGCCTGGCCAGTCGGGGATTGAATTCATGCTGCAGAGGCTGCAGAGAGCTTCACAGTGCTGTGCTTAACCCCTTGTGCCACCAGGGAGGCCCTTGATAGGAGTTTAATGCAGGCAATTCTATTTTAAATCTTTTAACACAACTTAGTTAATTTCCCAAATCTCTTTTGAAAAATTAAAATTTTATTAATTTTAATAATGAAGATTCACTGAATATCTAGATCATCCCACTGAAATTACTGAATTTAGGTTTATTTTTAACTTCTCATTGAAAGGGAATTAAAGATTTATTTCTATATGCACAAAAAATTGAAGCACATATTTTAAAAATTATAAAAAGTATTTTTAAAATCTTCCAATATATAGTAATCTAATAGAACACTATTTTTACTATAAGTTAAAATTTAGAAACTAAGATATTAATGTTTAATGGGTTAAGAGTTTTAATTAATATATTAGATTAAAGCTAATGGATATAGGAAACTATTTTTGTTAGAAAAACCTGCTTTCAGTGAGAGACTGACTTTACTAGAATGGAATGGAAGAAATATCAAATAAAGAAGAGGGAGTATGTTATATGTAAGATCAAATGAATTTTTATAAGGACTTTCAAAATTAAATTTTAATATCACTATTACTATTATACTTATCCAAAAGCAAATTTTAATTTCTTTCATCTGCTAAAAGAACAAATGTGTTATTTCACTGTTGTCAGCTTTTAATAACAGATTATAAACTGTTTGAGTAGTCTCCTTAGAAAACAAAGACATTTGTCTTATCAAAATAACTTCATGAGTGTCCTGTCATTTTTACTATCAGGTCCTTAATTACTGTAAGTAAATGTGGTCTTGATTTTAATAAAAAGTTTAATTCTGTTTGCCACATTGGAAGCTTTTATATTTGTTTTTGCGATCATTGTCACTTTGGTTAAATGGGAAATTAAATATTATTTCATAATAATCTGTGTTTTTGTAGTGCTAGGAAGGCACAGACCTGGTTCTCTATCATCCGAGCAGATGGGAAAAGGAGATTCTTGGAGCCCTCAGTGGCTTCTTTAGGCTTTTATTGAGCTTTTACATGTATTGCCACAAGCAGGCACATGGCAGGCAGGGATGCCGGTACTGGGCGGGAGGCCTGCAGGTCTCCCAGCCGGTGGGGAATCTTCACTCTTTACTGGGCTCTCTGGCCTTCTCTGTGCCTCTGTTCTCTTGGCGAATATATATACAGCAGCCAAGGCCCACAAAAGTAAACAATATAACTGAATATCACAATGCATGCACTTAGGACCACAGGGATCCATCATTAATCCTAATGGAGGCCGGGCAGAAATGCCTGACAATCGTTTACCCTACAATATTTTAAAACTTCTAATACTTGTGTTAAAACTAAGCTGAAATAAAAATTCTGTCTTTCAATTGATTAAAAGTGAAGAAATAATGGGAAATCTTAGAAGAGCTCCTAAGTAACTCTGTATTTTTCACCCTTTTAAAAAATTATTTGTATTTATTTATGCATACAACAACTGGGGT